AACTTTTCTCGTACGATTTTTCTTTTCGTTTTCTATAATTAGACCTTTTTCTCGGTCATTTAGGCAAACCTGTGCTTTATCAACAATGTATTACTTTTATCTCCTGGTAAATAGTTTTCATACGGGCTTCTACAAGTTCGCCTCGCAAAAGTTGGTAAACATTACATTTTTTACTTTTTCTGAGTTGTAAATATTGGTTTGTTATTTTACTGATTGTTACTAAGATATGAGGCCCGGTGGCGCAGTCGCTAGCATATCGCGCAGCAGCACCACACGTCCAGGGCTCGATTCCCGGGCTGGGCAAGGTAGACTCAGCCTTTCATCCCTTGATTTCCATCACTTGGGTCGATAAATGAGTACCAAGTTCGCTTGGAAACAAAGCACCGGGATTCCTGCGACCAAGCTGACCACTTGTTCAGGGCATATGCTTACTTACCCCGGGGTCCACGGCCAAAACAGCAGATTTCGGGCACTGCTGGCCTTGGTCCATTCGGGCTGTTACGCCACTGAGTTTTTTTTTTATTATTATTGGCTAAGATATATTTAAAGACTTTACAATCGATTTTTGCATCGGCGGATTTTCTGTTGCTATCAACGATTTAAATTTAGAAACATTGGATACAGTATTTAATTTTTTTGGTATTCATTAGCAGTCTTCTTTCTATGCCGAAATAATGACTGACGGTTTTTTTCCTTTTCGAATCATAATGTTATGTAGTTTGCACGTAGAAATTTTAATACCATGCATTTTAGAACGTTATTGAGTTATGGAATAGAATAGGTGAGAAACATGCCTTTCGATCTTTCTTTATTCTGCATTCTGCTAAGAAGAATAAATCTAAAAGTAGCAGACGATATTTCTCATATAAAAAAATAAGCCATTGGCAGAAGTTCTTATTCCAAAACATTTGCTTTTTAACTTTGTAGTCCAAAGACGCAATTTTCCCGGAAAGACTATTCATTTCGTTATGGCATTTTGCGTTGATTCCCTACCAGCGTTGTTGCACTTTTTAAATTGTTGCCACCAAATATTATTGCCATGTGTTATATTTAAAGAATTAAATAAATAATAAAGAATCTGCATAAATGTATGTATATATCTTGCACTGTGATAAAACAACTGTACTTAGAGCCATCCAATATTGAATAACATAATCCTCCTGCGAATTAGAGCATCTGGAATTCAAAATTTGGAATTTGATAATTGTTTATTATCGATTTTATATTTTGTAACACTTTAACGAATTTTTTATTAACAAACTCAAGGATTTCAAAGCGAGCCATGGAAATGTTGTACAGAAAAAACATTTTTATCTCCAGCGCGCTAGGCTATGTATCGGAAATTCTAAACATATGCTCATTTCAAAATTATTTTGCGATATTGCTATTGAAATGAATTTTATGGCTTAAGAGCGAAGAACATGATATTTAATAAATAAAGGTAACACACAAAATGTTAAAAAAATTCCCCTTTAAACGTAATTTAAAATTTGAAACCTTTCAGATTTTTTTTAAAATTTCACGTGGTTAGTTTGATATTATTCCGTCATGCACTTGCCACGCTTTTTTATTTTTAAATAATTCTTTATCGAAATCGTGTATAATGTGTAACCATCCTCTGTATTTTATTAACATTAACCGCACTGTTGATCACGCTAAGCGATGTATTTTCCACGTTTTGGTACATAAATGGAAGAGTCTTCAAAAATTTGATAACAATACCCGAATGATAACACTAACCGTGATCATATTAAGCAACACCTACTATATCACTAAAACCGTAACTCTTTAAATCTGCAACTGAAAAAGAGTTTGCGTTTAAATTATTTTTATAATTTTAAATTAAATCGATTATTTAAGTAACATAATAGCCAATAAATATATTAGTTGCTCCACTTTTTAAATACTAAAAAGATTAAAGTGTATTTTAAGATAATGCATTGTTACGTTACAGTAATTAGTTTAATTTCACAATTTAATTCAAATATCCTCTCATAAAATAAGCAATCTTCATTTTACACTTAAAGATGTCTGTACATCTAATCTACCCAGCTTGCCTTCAGATATTAGTCCCATCCTCTTAACTATAATTTCTCTCGGAGTGTAGTAGATGAATCCACGTGTAGCTGACGTATCGATTATTCTTGAAACGGCTAAAGGGGGATTTGCTAGGTTCCAATCAGTATCAGCCCGATATTAGAGGAATATTTGAGCATTAAGATGCGCAGAGATTCAAAGGCGCATTTCTTGTAATACAAAAAGAATTATTGTAACTAAAAGACCATTTTCTCAAATTGTAATTAGAATTCTGAAAAATATGTTTTTTTCTTTGAGGTTACGAAAACCGTATTTTTTAAGCACTGTTATTTAAATATGCCTTATTTTTGAAGGCAGTACAACATACTTTCGGATTATCAGGGATAATGCAGGGAAAGCAGGTCACAGATACTCCAAACTATGAATTCCCATGCATATATTATGTGTTTATTTCCTAAAAATTAAAAAAAAAAAAAAAAAAAAAATAGAACTTCGAAAAATATCCTGTGAAATTCGATAAATATTTAAACGTTTCACAAACGAAATGAAATTACTGATTTTTAAGAAATAAACGCAGACAACTTGCACGGAAATTGACAGATAGGATTATCCGCGTTTTTCAATTATCTGTAACCTGCTTCCCCGACATTAGCTCAGATCATCGAGATTACAGTATATGAACATTAATTATTATTGCGATTATTGCAATTTTGTAAGGAGTTTCTCGCTTCTTATGCGGTGTTTCCGTGGTGTAATTGGAAGCACATCTGGATAATAATCGGGAGGTAAGTGGTTCGAATCCCGGCGAAAGCATTGTTGAAAGTCTCACTTCTCCTCCTGGAAAAAAAATTGATACGCTCGAAGTTGCCACCGAACTAAAATGTAGTACATGATAATTCTTCACTGACAGTATTTGACGATTCGGACCCCTAGATGTTCTTTAAAAAGGGAAGAATGTAAGGTATTTTCGTCCTCTTTACCGCATGCCTTTGTGGCGTAATCAGGCTGGAGTTCAAACTCCGGGAATATCACTGATTTTTCATATTTCTTGCTTTGAAAAACTTAATGACTTTACAACCTATGCTGTTATTTTTGGTTTTTTCCTATTCTGCAGCTTCCTTCATCATTTAGCTTTAGCGACTCAGATTAAAACCTGTTACTTTAAAATAGGCACTTCAAGGTCTGTTCGTCCCTCTAGTACCACAACGCGAGTCACCATCCCCGAATAGCACTTATTTTCCTCACTTCATTTGAGAGTATAGTTCAAGGTCAGTTAATGAAGTGGGGAAAAATAATCGACCATCTTTCGCAGTTGTCGTTACTATGGCTAGGATGCAAACCAAGCAGAGGAAAACTCCTTAAGTGCCTTTTCTAAATGGTACAGTACTATCTTCGTCCTGTAGAATTTCACTTCAGCATATCGTTGGTCACATACATAAAGCTGCTACCACACGGACAATAATTTCTCGCAACATCTCGTCAAACTCAAAACTTCGAGGACTCTTGCTTCCAGAAAATTTAACTATAATGTACACTTTATTATCCAGACTAACGCCAGGGAACCAGGTCATGGATACCTGAGGAATACGGATATTCCAAACTATTAGTTTTCATGCATATCGTATGTGTTTATTTCTTTAAGAAAAAAAAAAAAAAAAAAAAATGGAAAAAATATCAGCTTTTTTTGTTTCTGAGGACGTTTAAATGTCTGTCGAATTTCAATACGCATTTTTCGAAGTGTTATTTTATCCTTTATTCGAATCTCCTTTGGTGGACGAAGATTTTGTTTAACATTATCACGAACAGTTTGCATCCCAACTCCCTGTTTTATTCTTCGGCTAGCTTTATAGTCGATGCGCTATGTTCAAATCTTTCGAGTCGTTTAAATCTTGCAAGAAAAAAAAAAGTGAGGCACCTCTCCCGCCTTTTATAATATTGTATCATCCATTTATGAGATATCAAATATTACTTTCAGAAAAATTAGAAAATGAAAATTTTTAATTAATGAATAAAAGTTTGAATTAATGACAAATTCCAAGAAAAAGATGTTAAGCAAATTACAAAAAAGCTTGTTTCTGCGTTATATATTTCAATAAAATTTACAAAGCTCTAATATATTTTACTTAAAATAAAAAAAATTAAACTTTAAAATTATGAATTTGACATGACTTATTAAAATTTAAAAAATAAAAGGTAGTTGATTTAATTCCAAAACAATTAGCAAAGATTTTAATTTGGTAATATTTGGCATTATTTTGTTAATAGGCTGTTTTGCGATTAAATTTTAAGAAAGATAAAAAAAAAAAAAAAAAAAAAAAAAAAAAAAAAAAAAAAAAAAAAAAAAAAAAAAAAAAAAAAACAAAAAAAAAATTTCAATTTTAAAAAAGTTTTTTTTTTTTTTTTTTTTTTTTTTTTTTTTTTTTTTTTTTATCCATTCCCATTAAGAAGTTATCCGATTAAGTTTTTTTTTTTTTTTTTTTTTTTTTTTTTTTTTTCCCAGCAGCTTCCGAGCGGTAAAGTCGCTGAACATTTGTAATTCTACCTGGATTTGATTCTAGGTGAACAAGCTACCTGCATGGCAGTTTTCTTAGTTTTCCCGACGTGTAACATGGATACGAGCCAGTTTCCTTAAAAAATCCTCCATGGAGGCATTCCTTCTCTTAAGCAGATAACCTCGAGTGATTTGGAAAATCAGTCAAATAAATAAACCAAATCAAACCTTTATTTGCTGCCTCTAGAAAAACATTTCTTAAGCGAGTTCTACTGAAACACTGTAAATGTTACGTGTTTAAGTCTCGCAACGGAAAATATAGCTACTTGAAAGTATTTCATGTTATTAAATTACTGATTGTTTGTTTATGTAGTTTCAGTAAAATTGTAATTGATTATTTAACCATTATATATGTATTACACTGTAGTAGATACTTTTAAGAAAAGTAATATAAATTTTATTTTATTTCCAGGAAATCAAAAACTGAAGCCATCATCTGTTTCAGGTAAAAGCATTTTCTTGTCTTCTGATAATAATATAATTTAGTTCTGAAAATAAATATAAAAATTTTAAATGGTTCGCAAACTTTGAGTCTTACATTATCCAGTCACTAGACGTTTTAATAAAACAGAACTTTTTTTCAGCTGCATGAAGAGCACTTCACTCAATATTCTCTTTGATTAGTGTCAATAAGTTTCCGTGGAAACCACCTGCAAACTATAGATGTACCTACAGCGATTCCACATTTCTTTATATGGTCATGGACTGTTTATGATAATTAACTAACTCTTTAACTGTTATTGTTATGTACCGCTTCCTTTTCGATTGCAACTTTTAATGCTTCATTATCAAAAAACAAAAATTGATATCGCTGCAGATGTTTGCTTGGTGTTATATCTGCTAATTGAATTTTGACTTGCCGGGTCTCGTGACACCATTTGTAATTTCTTTTGTGAACCAATTACAGCTTGGTCTACCTAGTTAGATAGTTTTACTGATATTACTTATAACTGATGCTGCTGGGTATGAGGATAGAACTCGTGAACTTTTCTGAATCGTGGGTTTGAATGCTATACCAGTCATGCCAAAAACAGCTATTGTTGAGGCGAGCAATAATGTAATTTCTTGGGCGGCGCTTCCGCAATGGCAGACCACACAAAGATACGAAATTCCCATGTGCGGTTCTCTCACAAGTCTCAGCCCTCGAGCTGTTAAAGATGCTCTGACATTGCAGTAGCAATAGCGTGTTCAGTAATGCCCCCATTTTACATAAGGCCATAATTTCATGGCTAGTATGAGGAGATTTTAGCGATCTGCACTGTGTCGGTAATCAAGTTCTCTCGAATTTAAGGGGCACACTGGCTAATGATCTTAGAACTTTAAATATAACTGAAAAATCAAAAAGCTGTGATTAATTTAGTCTGCAAAATTTTATAGACAAAGCAAGTACTGGATCGCTGTAAGAGTCTCGACTAGAGACTTAGGATCCTCAGATAATAGGGACAATAATTTATCTTTAGGTAACCATTTCCACCCGTTCAGTATTAATTGTCAATTGCAATTATTATATTCTTAATAGAGCTTCTCTTAGATTTATGATACATTTGTTTTTAGTTCAGTATGCAATAACACGCAACCCAACCTAAAGGCAAACCATTTGCTTACTGGTTACTATATAGAGTCGCTGCAAAATAGCGCCAAAGCACCCACAGCAGCTGACAACGACGCTAGCTACGTTCGCCGTTTCGAAATTTACAGAACCATTCTTGGCACTTGCAGATATACAAAAACAGCTTTTCTTACAGCATCTGCAACTCTATTGTCTTTTTACTTCCTTGTGCGAAGTTAAAAATGTCTTTTAATAACGAAACATTTCGGGTGTTAGATTGTTAACCGTCAATTTTAATTTTATTATTGTATCTTGATTATTTAATTAATTTCTAAACATATATATATATATATATATATATATAACTAATTTGGTCATTCCAAAAATTATAAGCCAAATGCTGCATTAATTAAGGGCAGTTATTTCAACAAACATAGTTTAAAAGTACTTTAAATACTTTCCAATTTACAAAAAAGTACAAAACAATGAGTAAACATATATATGTAATAACACCGCTGCATTATTGTGATAAGACTGCGTTATTATTGTAATAAAATGACTTGGTAGAAGTAAGTTGCAACGGATTGGCGGTGGGTCTCTGCATCATAACTTGAAGACAGCTTGATTGCGTAGTTAGAACGATGGATGCATACATCAAAAAACTTGCAGACATGGCCAAAATTCCACAAACAATTTTATTTCTGGATAATGCACATTATCACTGTGTATGCGTTATGCACTTCCCCAATTTTGTACAGATTACATCTTCTTAAAAGACGAAGGTTAGAAACGTAAACTCTGAGACAGGCGACACAAGCGTCTGGAAGCAGAAGGGAAGACAGAAGAGGGAGAGTTACGACGCAAAATTAAGCTTTCATACCGCATTCCATTTCAGATAATATGGCAGTTTAATGTACAGGTGTTGGGTTCAGACTTCATCGATTAAGTGCGCAATACAAATTAGATGACGGATCTTTTTCGTTTAGTTAGAAACTTGATTGCTCTATTATTTTTAGAATGAAGACAAGAGTCAAAGGGCTATTAATTTATTATTTGAAAGCTAGATTTTATATTCTGCATATATATATATATATATACATAAAATTAGCCTGTTATCTGCTTTCAGATCGTACATTCGGTCCGCATGCGATATGAATTTGAGATCACTGTTTATAACACTGTAATAGATCATTGTTCATATCAATATTCCTACTGTTCCGGAAAGTGGGATATGTCATAACTTGCCAGCAGTTGTTATGACAAAGGAAATCAATGTACTGTTTTTTATTATTTTCTCTTTGTTTGTTATGAAAATGGTTTCCAATAGTCAATAGTCGTGGGGCTAATCATAGAGAAAAATAATTTTACCGCAGTATTTACTTCTGTTTCCTTTACTAGAAATAGATAAGTAAGGAAAAGAGTAGTATATGGGAAGAAAAATACGCAAAACCTTTGTTGTTCTGAAACATATCCGTAACGCAAATTTTTAATTAAAAATTTTGTATGAAAAAGTGTTTTCGCAAATATATTTATTAACTAAATTTAATGAACCCGACAAAAGGGATATTTCGGATTAAAATGACAGCATTCGCAAAATGGCTAGCACCTTTTAGTATCACACGTGATTGCGATAATGCCGAACATAGCTATTAAGCTTCCACCCCAATTTTAGAGAAGATTAAGCCGGGGGTGGGGTAGGTCTCCTACCCCTCTTCCGTTACCACAACCTTTCGAGAGGACTTTCGGCTTCCCTTGTATTTTGAGTGCCCTCTTGCTGACGCTATACCTTTACAAAAATCCATGTCTTCTCTGGGATTCGAACTCGGATCCATCGGTACGGCAGTCGGCGTCGTTAACTTCTATACCGGTATGACGGCTTTATTCGCAAAACAGTAGCTTAAATTGATACAATCCCCATATGGGGTCATGATTTGCGTTGCAAGAGACAAATAGCTTTATAATATGCAATTATTTGTTTCCGTCGACGGCTATGGAAGTGAGTGATGCGTGTTACCCAAAATGAGTTCGCGTGTCACCTGATTCGCGAGGCATAGGCTTGCTATAACTGACGTAGATCCATAGCATACTTTCGCGGTAGATCATCAAATCTCTTGGTTTTTAATTTTTACTACGAAAATGTTACTAAGGAAATAATTTTGAAGTCTCTACGAGTGTCTCCGACTAAAAATGTGGTAGACGATATTTCATCACCACCTGGATTTGGCGACTGGCTTTCCCGCTACCCAATCGCATTTTGTATAGAGGAGAATGTTTGGAAGTTTCTCGCTGCATACCTTCGTGGTGTAATTTATAGAACATCCGATTATCATCAGAGGTCCAAAGTTCGAATTCTGATGAGGAGATAGCGGATTTTTCATGTTTCATGTTCCTATAAATTCTAAATTACAGAGCTACCTCGGTATACTCATTAACCTGTTCCAGATCCTTGGACGCATACCAAAGGAACATTTTCAATAGGAAATACAGGAAAAATAATGAATCCGTTCTTATAAAAATATCCGATAGCTGTTAATTTAACACTGTTTAATACTAAAACAGAAATGCAATGAGTGAAATATATGCTGTACGTAAATGAAATACAGTACATGAAAGGTTTTCTGTTATGCACAGATCAAAAAAAATTTTTCAAGATGTCCTGATGTCACAGATGTTTGTTTGGTAATCGATCTGAGTTCCTTCGCAATTGTTATCCGATTTAATAGCCTCTTTGTTTTTCACAACCGTAGATACCATCGTACTCGGCATGCGGTATGAAATAGCCAACTCTCTGAGACGGATGCCATTTTTCCAACAATTCCGTTTTTGCCTCTTTGGTAATCCTAAAACTTTTCTTCGTTGCTTGACTCTTTTCATTAACTTTCCCAAAACTCGTTATTAATGAACTTGGAGAAATTTATACGAAAAAATATAGAATTGCTTGAAAATTCAAAGTTTTAGGCTTGCATCGTTTACTGAATATTAGTAACAGACGTACTGACACACGTGGGCGATAGTGTCGTATTCCAAGCAATAACCAAAAACGTATACCAATACCTTGAAGCTCATAAATCTTTCACCAACTCTAGTTGCATGTGGAGTTAACTGTTTCTCTGTTTAATGATGACCTGTCATTTGCATCTCTTAACGTTAGCTAATCAAATTATAGAAAGATTTAGAGTTATAATTTTTTACATGTATCCAGCGTAACTAATTAATTTTCTAGTCACTAAGAGTAAAACAATTTTGCGATTAACTCATATTCATCTCTTGTTTCTTAAGAATCGTGTTAATTTTCAAAAAATTCTCCGTCGGAAAGCTGGAACTTTTCTCATTAATTCAAAAACGTTTGTCTATGTTGAAAGTATTTGCATATAGCAATAATTAGCTTTTGAATGTACTCGAAAATTAATTTATGTTTTGAGTACTTATACTCAACAAAAACAAATTCCCTCCAATATTACCTTTATTTAAAACATTATATCGCTTTATGCATTATTTATTGCATAATTGTTTTCCTGAAAGAAATTCCAAATATAATTTATGTATATTTAATTAATAATTTTTATGTTTTAATTCATAAATCCAATATTGCTATCCTTTTTTTTTTCAGAAATTCAATTATTCAGTTCCTTTTAATAAAGGCACGATTATAATGAAATTTTGCATTTTCCCCCTAATTAGAATTCACCCGAAGAACATTTTAATCGGATGTATATGTGAAATTGTTTTAAATTATTATTAAAAATATAACAAAGAATTGTTTACGTTGGCTTTCTTCTTAGGGAAAAAGTAAAAAGAATTTAAATATACATGAGAAACAAGCTTTTATCGTCTGTTTATATTAATTAAACCTCCTTTAATTAAACTGTAATTCATTTCTGCATAATTAAGGGAAT